AGAGGGAATTGGTAATTAGGAGCACTGGAGCCAGTGAAATAAGAAATATAAACGAAGCCTTTCATATTGAAGTTGCAGTTGTTTGTACTGAAATGTAGAAGTCACTCTTAAATTATTGATGTGTGCTCAATTTGAGAAGTAAAGTAAATATCTTCATTAGCTTTTTCAGTCTACTGAAGGGCTCAAGTATAACTTAAACAGTATCCAATGTCATTTGATTTGTTACTTGTTTAATACTTATCTTTTGCTTTCAAGATATAAAGTAATGTTGTAATTACTTTCTCCTCTACACAGTTTTGAGTGTGAGAACTAAACATGGTCGAAGCTCTGAATAAACGGGAGACATGGAGTTCAAAGTTCGACTTTATACTGGCTTTGATGGGGTTTTCTATAGGCTTCGGAAATGTTTGGCGGTTTCCTTATCTGTGTTTTAAAAATGGCGGAGGTAAGGTTTTCTATTATGTTCTCAGTTTCATTTTGCTTTTACTTCTACTAAGTCAGTCATGCAGGAAATAAATGGTTCTGCTGCAGTAGCGGAACATTATTCGAGTAGAAACTCTTTTGAGTGCAGTTTTCTAATAAATATTTTATCATTATTTCAGATGTTTATGGAGTTAAAAATTGATCATTGCCATATCACGTCCTTTCAAATTTTAAGGTTGCTTTCTCATTCCTTACCTAATTTGCCTGGTTGTGGCCGGTGTTCCGGTTTTGATTATGGAAATCGGTTTGGGACAGTACACGAGTGAAGGCGGGATCACTGCATGGAAGATCTGTCCTCTTTTTCAAGGTATGAGTTGGTGAAGAATACTTTATTTTCTACATCTCCGCCATATGTTCTTAATCTAAGGCCAGGGTCCAAGTAGAAACTAAGACTGGCTACATTTCATTTGCAACGGAACACAAATTTAAGATTTTTCTGCAAACAATTTGGTATACCATTTCATTGTTATCGGAACCTGATGCTTCTATGACAACCATGTTTTTTTTCCTCACCAGGTATTGGCTACGCAGGCGTGTTGGTCATGCAGTATATCAATATTTACTACACGGTGATTTTGGGTTGGGCCCTGTTTTACATGTTTGCGTCCTTTCAGTCAAGGCTTCCTTGGTCACATTGTGGAAATGAATGGAACACTCCAAACTGTGTGGATTACAGCGAAAATGGCACTCATTCCGGAATGCACAAGAACCATTCAATAGCAAATAAGGTGTCTGCAAGCCAGGAATATTGGGAGTAAGTAATAGTTTATTTGATAACAATATTATGAAATAATTGCATGTTATTTTCTTAATACCTAAAATGTTATCGAGGGCGAGTGCGTACCTGAGCCCACCTGGTTCCCTGTCATTTGGGGCTGATAATATCCCGTTCCTTTGCGCGCATAGCACTGTACTCCTCTCAGACCTTAAAGACAAAACGAAGGCACTGCCGGTTTTTTTCCGGCGCTATGGTTTAAAACGTTATTGCTGTCCGAAAAAGCAATGTCATTGACCAAACAAAGAGACGACCATCTCAAATATCGTACCTCTAGTCTGAAGAACAACTTTTACTCGCTATTTATTGGTACCAAAGCTGTCTGGTGCGTTAACAAATTGACGGTTGCATCTTTTCTTTCTCGTAATAGCTACAGAGTTTTACGACTATCTGGCGGTTTGAGTGAACCAGGTCAAGTGAACTGGGACCTAGCATTGTGTCTGTTGTTGGCTTGGATCATTTGTTACTTATGCGTGTGTAAAGGAGTCAAATCCAGTGGAAAGGTGACAGTTCGTTTTGTTTAAAATTGCATTTTAGTTTGTTAAAAAAATTCACAGATGACGTACAAAATGTCCAGGTGAAGCAACGCAATGCAACGCAAAGCAACGGCGGTTTTAAAATGGTTTCAAAAAGTGAAACAGAACATACGCGAAACCTTTGTGGCATAAATCGTTTACTAAATATTTGCAACATGGATAGGCTATTACAAATTAATTTTTGGGATTTTTAAGAAGATTACGACATTTTTTAATTTATAAGACATGTTTCGATGTTACTAACATCATCGTCAGTCACAGAATATTTGAAAAACCGTTAGGACTATATAACAACTAGGCGAAACATGCATAATTAACTATGATTAAGTGACAAAAATTAATAACAAATTTGAGTGTGTTACAAAGTGTTTGAAAGAATATAAAGCCTAAAGCGTAAGTGTCAGGTTGACGTGATGAAATTGTTGATTTAAATTGGGCTTTTCCCAATTTATATGCATAGCCTCCTTAAGTTTAAGTTGAAATTTGGTAGGGGCGGAATCAAGGATTTCAAAACAATCCGCAGAGCAAGATTGAGGACAAGGTTCTGAGCTTTGTAAGTGTTTGAAGATGTGTGCGGATTTGTCTGAAGAGAGATGTTCACGGACGCGTGTGGAAAAATGACGACCAGTTTCGCCGATATTGCAAGCATTACAACAAGCACAAGTAAATTTGTTTTTTTGTATTTAAGGCGGTACGATGGACGCAGTGCAATGTCCACCGACCATAGAGGCATACATGAAAGNAGAGCAAGATTGAGGACAACGTTCTGAGCTTTGTAAGTGTTTGAAGATGTGTGAGGATTTGTCTGAAGAGAGATGTTCACGGACGCGTGTGGAAAAATGACGACCAGTTTTGCCGATATAGCAAGCATTACAGCAAGCACAAGTAAATTTGTTTTTTTTTTGTATTTAAGGCGGTACGATGGACGCAGTGCAATGTCCACCGACCATAGAGGCATACATGAAAGGACAAAACTAGTACCGCCAAGGAAGGGGAGCACCTTCATACGAGGCCGGCTCGCCAAATTCGCCGGGGAGTCGTACCCCGCCCCACCATAAAGAGAGGAAAGACAATAGACACGGTTTAAAACAGTAACCCATGCAATAAAAGCGAAAAAGCGAAAGACTAGTTAAAAAGACTAGCTCAGTACATCCAATAAAGGCGACCAGGACTAGAGAAAGAGACCAAAGACTTCAATACATGTGATAAAAGCGAAGAAACCCGAAGAAGCAGTTAAAAACGCTAACCCAGGGCATCCAATAAAGGCGACCACGATTAGGGAAGCGGGACAAAATCTAGATAAGACCAGGCACTCAAAAACTTAGTTTAAAAGAAGCGCCGGAGACACGGCCAACGACGCCATTAGCACCCCATTGACGATGGAAAAAGCGACGACGACGCTGGGATCGTCAACCTGACACTTACGCTTTAGGCTTTATATTCTTTCCAACACTTTGTAACTCGCTCAAATATGTAGTCAATTTTGTCACTTAATCATAGCTAATTATGCATGTTTCGCCTAGTTGTTATATAGTCCTAACGGTTTTTCAAATATTCTGTAACTAACGATGATGTTAGTAACATCGAAGCATGTCTTATAAATTAAAAAATGTCGTAATCTTCTTTAAAATCACGATTTGCTCTCTGCTTTCTCGACCTTTTGCTTCAATCAATTTTTGGTTTTCCCTTGTCGTGAGATTCGGTTGATTTCACTCATCACTCATTCCGGAAGGAAACTAATGTGACAGCCTCTGCAAACAAAGTGACAAAGTTGCTTCAAACAGTTAAACCTGACTCTTCTTGGTTTAGGATATCGCAGATTTTGTACCATGTGCCAAGTTCATGCAAAGGACCAAGTAGGGCGTGACTGATCATTTGGGTTGGCTTGCATAAAGCAGATATATTGATTGTAAAATAAAGAAAATAGATAACTTGATTTAAGTCTCAGTTTTTAGAGTTACTTTATTAATTTTACTAGCAAAGAAATATTACAAATTGAGCAAAAACCTGTTAAAATGATCGCAACTGGTGGGAGGTTGACTAGTTGGCTATTTACCAAGCGTGGAGGAGTTGAATCTGGAAACACCAAACACAGATCTATCTACTGGTAGTGAGGAGGATTCGAATTCGGGACCTTTTGATCACAAATCCAGCGCCCTTAACCAAACGGTATTTGGATGATGTGACTCCATGTTTGCTACTTTGATAAGAGCATTTTCGTGATTTAATTATTTGGCCTCCGTGTTACGTTTAAGACGCCATCTTTTCCAGGTTGTGTACTTCACTGCTACAGCTCCATATCTGCTATTGACCGCCATTCTGATTCGTGGAGTGACATTGCCGGGAGCCATTGATGGAATCAAGTTTTATCTTACTCCTGATCCGTCAAGACTTTCAGATGGCCAGGTATTAATATCTTTTTGATTTTTTGTTCAAGTATGTTTTGACCAATTGTCTTTGTGCATTATTACTACGTGCGCAATTCATGTTGTAATGTCGCACCATGACATCCATCGACCGCGCACGCTAACTAATAATTAATGGGAACAATAATAGTGCTAATGGCCGCTGATGTAGCTCTGCATGGCTTTGACTCTCTTGAAAAGAAAGACTTTTTTGTCACTTAACGTTTCTTCCTTAAGAAGCACTGCGTTGCGATCCAACTAACGTGTGCAAAAAAATTAAGTTGTTTTTCTTTGCATTTCTACTGGATCTTTCCTTTATTTATCCAATACAGCACTACTGTCAGGGTCTCTACTTGCCAGTTAGGCACGTTTCTATCGGGTCTTCACGGCTAACCTGGGACCCATGTGTCACTAGCCCCACTGTAGTTTAACATTTCGGGCGGTCCCATACTCCAATGTCAGCAACCTCGCAGAAACAGGAATGCTAAGGAATGGATTTTGAAAGGTTAACCGCTTTTGCTGAGGTTTTAAAAGTCCCGGATATACCTGTTGTTGATGAAGCTCAACGACGTTAAAGGATCTTTTTTCGTTTAGGTCTGGATCGACGCCGCGACTCAAGTGTTTTTCTCATACTCTCTTGGTATGGGGACCATGACAGCGCTTGGTAGCTACAACAAATTTAAGAACAACTTTTACAGGTTAGACAACAATAATAAGTGCTGTCACAGTATAGGTCTTTGCTCGTGTATTCGAGTAATCAGCGGTACATGACGATTGCCGATGGTCGCCTTAGTCATGAGACAACTCGAAGATGTTCGGAGATTTTCTGTCTGTTAAAACCCAAGGAATCCCCAAATTATTGAAGACTGAAAAATGAGCACTTGTACGTGCAGTTTCCTATTCCAAATACACTCCAAAAGAAAGGGGAGACTGCCATCTGAGACAAAACGGCGAACGAAGGGCCAGGAGGAAAGCCAGATCCATCCTGATCATCACCCAATTCCACAACAAGCATCTCTCTTCACACACCAGGCCCACAGTAGAGATCGCAATCAATCCAAGATTAGCTTCTACAGCCACACAAGACGATGCTCATCAACAACTGTCATGGAGTCACTTTATAGTCCATCGACTCACGGATGCCAACAACTCGAAATAATGTGACTAGCCATAGTAAATTATATTTGCAACGGCTCCAAACGTACCAGCTACTTCGTGACTCTCTAAAAGACACTTTTGATCTCTACAATTTCGTAATCATTTGAGTTTTCCGAGAATGCATGTTTTAAAATCTATTGTTTTTACGGTTTAAACTTTTTTCCATTTCGCTAGGGACTCCATAATATTTACATGCTGCAATAGTGGAACAAGCTTCTATGGCGGATTTCTGATCTTCTCTGTGCTGGGATTTATGGCAAAAAATCAAGGGGTGGAAGTGAAGGACGTCGCTAAGTCAGGTTATAAGAACACTTGTCATTTACTAACCGTTACCGGCCTGCGACGCATGCTATAGGGGGCTTGCGATTACATCAGGAAATGCCCTGAGCGTTCTTATAACGTTTATCAGACTGTTGTGGTCAAAAACCTATCTTTAGTCTTTGTTTGTTTTATTTCTGCCATTTATAAATATATTTACAAAATATCAATGTGTAAGATAAGGAATCCCAGGTAGGCCAATAAAGCTGTTAATCGTACGCAACAGAAAATCCGGCAATCGGGAATCCCAAAAGTGTTGGTTGAATTCCTCTTCGAAGTTGTATTGGTATGCTTCACCGGACAAGGTTACATGGTTATCTGGAGCATTTTAGTCACTCTATTCTGACATAGTCTGCAATAAAGCAGACCAATGATATAATATTTTTGAAATACTAACAGTAAGGTGTAGGCTTGAGTCTACAATTCCGATCGGGTTTACAATTAGAAATAAATTGGAAAATTAAACGAGACTTACATGGAAGTTGAAGTTTGATTGAAATTCTACCGTGGCATTTGCAGGAATGAG